GACGGAATCTGTCTGCACCGGGCCCCGGGATTTTCATCGACGGGCTGCAGAAGGTGCCAGACAGGTAGTCGTAGGGTAAGGGCCTCCAAGCGTCATTGATCTCGGGCCTCTTCTCCTCTGTGATGTTCTGTCTCCAACGGTAGATGCCATCATCTGACTCCTCGAAGCGCACGCGAAGGTAGGGCCCAGGGACATCCTTGTCGCACTCGTCAGGGTTCAGCTCTCCGAACTCGATGTAGCTTGGAGTGCGGCCCAGATATCGTGGGCAGGCAGCGACATAATCTTATACTTGGCAGCGCTGCCCAGGTCCTCGTTGGATAGGGCGATGAACCACTCCCACAGCCGCAGGACCGAGAAGACGTCACTCTCCAGTTTGTGGGCTCCCATAAGTCCATAAGTGCATAGAACATCTTACAAACCTCCCTGGTGGTTCCCATCTTCTTCCTGGTGCCCAGATCGATCAGCCCGGTCTCGATGAGCACTGCCATGCGCTGTGGATCGCGACGGTCTAAGTACCCCTGCACTTTGCGGTTCAAGCTCTCCCGCGTCTGGCTTGGGTCTCGCGCAGATTCTGCCACTGCTGCCGCCAGCCGCAGAGTGTTCTTCCCGACCATTGCCATGCACAGCACGTCATGCGCAAACTCCTCCTTCTGGGAGGCGTCCGGTTCATCAAAGATCTTCTCCAGCTTTAGGGGGTTGGGAGCCGGCTCGACCGGTGCTTTTGTAGCGACGAGCCCCCAGAAGGTTTTCCGATCCATCTGTCGCTGCAGCTCTGGAAGCCAGTCTGGCGGATCGGAAGGCGGCTTCTTCATGGCTACGTAGTCGATCGCTCTGTCTACAAGAGCTCGTCCAGTTGGTGCTGGTCGCCTTCCCGGCAGAGGGCTTGGTGATGGAACTTCAGCACGTTGTCCAACTCCTCCGGCTTCCAGTCGATCTTCTTGGAGTCACTGCTGACCTCCAAGCGTAGCTTCACATTGCTGATGCAGAGCTGATAGTTGTGTTCTGCGGGCGACGTAGTCAGAAGATGCCATGTGCCCTCCTCATCTTCCACCTCCACGACGAAGAGACTGACAGGAGCCTGGGTCTTTCAGCAGAGTCGGACTTACCCAGTAGCCTCCTTTGCCCGCGAGGTTCAGCTTTTGGTTATCTTTCGACCCTTTGCGAATCACGTCCGGCGGATCAACTGTCTGCTTCAGCTTCTTCAGCACCTTCTCGGCGATGCGTTCTTTGGCATCATCGACGTCGGCCGACAGCTCCTCGAACTCCGCTCGAGGAGCCTCCTTGATCGCCTCTGGGAAGCCGAGTAGTGGATTCAGCCACACGCGACACTTCCCCCCGTGCTGCTCTTGCACCTCGAAAAGCTTGTCCGGCTTGTCTGAGGAGTGATAGTTGCAGATGCTGTACGAGTCGTGTGGAAGCTTGCTGACGTACTGCCGTAACTTGGAGCTTGATCCGTCAGATAATGCCATCGCAGGCCGGCGGACCGCGATCGCCACGGCGAGCTCTCCCGTGGAGCCGCAGGTCGTCGAGTTCATCTGTGGTGGGGCACTTGGGCTGTCGTCTCCGGGCTGCCAGATCCTGCCATCCAAATCCGCTTGAAGAGTTGTGACTGTAAATCTGACTGCTACTAGAGCCTGTGACACTGCCCCTGAGCTCAGCTCCAACACAGAAGTTTCCGAGCTGAAATGTGCAGTCTCCGGTGCCTCGGACCGCGGCTCTCGTCTACCCGCGTGCGGGGCCACGGCTGAACCTTCAAGGGGCCACATGTGACCGTGTCACCCTTAAGCTCTGGCATCGCAACAAGCACGGTACCTTGCCAGAATGCTGTGCAAGCTCTCCGGCTCGCAGTAGGTGACCTCGCTACCTGAAAGGGAGGGCTTGAAGCTTGGCACCCTTTGTGCATCTTCAGAATGTCGATCAATTCTGAGAGCTGGACGGTCATCCAGCAAGAGCTGAAAATGCTCCAGGTCGATGGCGTTGACACCATATTTGCCACAGATTTCCTGAAATGCCCTCGGCCACTCGACGGTGTCGGTGTCAATGCCCAGCTGGCTCACGAGGCCAAATAGCTCGTGCTCTCCCAGAAGGCCGTCCTCACACAGACTTTTTCAACAGCCGAACGGTCTCTCAAACGAAACCCCAAAGGAGGGGCCTTGTCAACATCAAGGTACCAGAACAAGGCGTTGATCAGGCGTGGGCGTTCCAGTGCTGGGACCTGAAACGCGACATCGATGCATTTCGGATCACGATCTTGGAGGCTGGACATGGAGCGTACCAACGCGGACCCATGATGCCTGCTCACTGCTGGTGCTCGGCCTGCGACTCTCTGCCTGCAGACGTTGCACAACACTTTGCAATGAGAGCTGTGGAAGCTTGACACTCTCCATCATCCTGCATGCGACTTGGGAGACACTAGTCGCGCCAGTTCCAGCTCCCATGGCTGCATGTACCACACCACTGACACATGCTTGGTTCGAAACATCTCGCTCAGAACAGCAGAAGTGTAGCCGTTTCTTTGTAAAGACATTCAGCACGGATAGAAGATGAGATGCGACGTGCCATTTGGCATGATACTTGTGGCAACTCTGGAAAGACCGACCGGAATTACACAGCAGAAATCGCGCTTCGTAGACTCTGGCAGACCCTGCATGAAACCCAAACAGTTTACACCGTAGACATGTGATGGCCTCATTGCTCGCCGGGCGCCGTTGTGTATGGATGATGTTGTGCAGTTCTGCATCAGCGCAATAGAGGCCAGCGTCGCTAGAATCCTGTCAAGGCGAGCATGCGATGTGTCCTTGCAACTCGGTGTTGCTAGCCGATTCCAGGCGTCATGCATGAGTCGCTTCATCATGAACAACTTTTCGACTGTGTATCACATGAAGCCGGGCGGAATCCCTTGCCAAGGGCCGCTTCTGGCCGTACCGAAAGCCTACCAAAAAAAATCCACGCCATCTTTTACACTCCTGCCTCCAATAGAGCTCCGAACGTCTGCGCGCTGATGCCAGCCTGAAAAGTACATCCAAAAACATGCCCGACTCGCTGGTAACGAAGCCACACAAGTGCCGCATGACATGGAGCATTGCCGCACCAAGCCGAATGTGCGGGGACGTTGGCCACTAATCCTTACCGCACATTCTCTTCTTGCTTGTTGTGCCCTGGCCTCAGGCACCAGACTCCGTCGTTCGCAGAGGCGTCGGTACTTCAGCTCCCAGGCTGCCTCCGGGTCCAGAAGCTGCAGACTCTCTGAAAGGGCTCCTGCCAGGATGCCTGAATTCTCGAATTCGCAACGGTCTTCGTCCCCCACGTATTAAAGGCCCCAAGGGACTTGATGATGCAAGCCGGTTAGCTGCCATGCTGGGGCATGCTCATCCACAATGCTAGTCTGACTCTGACGGTGCATGACGCTTGCATGAGCCCCAAGCTGGGTTACCGGATTTTCTACGACCCATCTTGTCCAGCCTTGCCCGCTTTGAAGCCGCTCAAGCTCGCGAACACCTCTGTAGGCTCACTACATGTAGACCTATGTGAGCCCACAGCTCAATATGCGATCTGCCACTGAGGCCTGCACGAAGAGCTCCTCAGAATCTAGAACCCCATCAGAGTTCGCATCCATCAGCTGAAAGACCGTTCGAATCAGCCTGCTTCTTGACTTGGCCGGGAGTCCCGAAGTGCCATTGCTCTTTCTGTTCTCGCTGTGGTCCTCCACGGCCTGCACTTCCTTACGTGGCTTGGCTTTTGCACCACTGGGCACATTGGGCACCTTCAGAGGCAGCTCGTCGCTTGCCAAAGCCAGACCGTGACTGCCGGCGTGGGATCTTGGGACAATCTCTCTGCCACTCTCGCGAGTGCGGGTGAAGTCGGCCAGGAAGGCGTGGAGTTGGGGAACGGAGCAAAGCAAGCCGCTTCCTGATGTGTCCGCCAGCAGCCGGCCGAATGTTGGCAAGTCCAGGCCCTTCCGCAGCAACTCCTTGGTGTTTGCCAAGTCCTCACAGAGGAGCCGGTACTCCCTTGCCCAGTCATCATCCGAGCCCTTGAAGCCCGTGGCTGATGCCAGCGGCCAGAGTTCCCGTACACCCAAGAAGCCGTCACCGTCACGGTCCAGTGCCTCAAAAAGTCGGATCACCAGCGAAGCACGCTCCCGGTCCTCGTCTCCAGTGCATCGAAGGTCCAACAGCGCCCTGAAAAGAGAGTCAGTCGTTGATGGACACCCTTTCGGATTTTCCAGAAGTGCCACAAAGCCCTCGAGGTCAAAGCCAAGGCCTTCATCTACATGGCTGTCGGCACACAGAAGTCGGTATTCCTGCAGCCAGTCAGCTTCTGCACCTTCAAATCCCATGAGGTCCGCTAAGCCTTTCAGCTCCACCTTCGTCAGCCGCTGATCACCATCCACGTCCAGCATCCGGAACACTTGCTGTATCAACCAGCGACGGCTGTTAGGAATGTCTGACGACCTGCGAGCCGACAGCTGCAAGCTCTCGCCCTGGCGGGGCGAGTTCGAGGGCCTGGACGACACCACCTCGGCGACAACTTCGGGCCGTTGTGGGTGAGTTGGTGTAGCTCGACTTCCTTGCTCAACGCGTTGCTGCAGACGAGTCAGGTCTTGATGGACTTCCTGCTGGCCTGAGAGGAGCAGCCTCAAATCGTCTCTCATGTCTCGCAGCTCTGAGTGCTGCTTTGTGCTCGCCTGCTGCTGTGCTTCCTGTGCTGTCTGGAGCTCCTGCAATAGACCCTGCTGCTGATCTCGTAGGCACTGAAGGTTCTGTTCTTGGAGATGCATGGATGTCAGAATCTGGTCGTGACGCTGCTCCTGCAAGACCACCAGGTCGTCGTCAAGTTTTGAGACGGGGCTTCGTCGAGGCATTGGGGGAGGAGAATCTGGGAAAGCCTGCAGCGTGGATGCCGGCTTCGGCTCGCACTCCGAATGGCTCCGGCTCTCTCTCCGCAGCGACTGGAGCAACCTGAACCCTTCAGACTCGCCTGGCCGCCCTTCGCTTGCTTCCGGCTTTCGGTACATGTCTCGATGCAACTCGGTCAGAAAACTCAGCGTGTCGTCCTTCTCCGCCTGGGACGTGCTCTCGCGAGTGGCCACCTTCGAACCGCTCGCGCTTGGCGGCTGCACCGGGGAAGCGGCCAACGACTGGAGCTCGCTGCCTTCCGGGTGAAGACCTTCAGGGTCCGTGACCGAGTCTCTCGCAGGCGAGAACCCTTCCTAAAGCATGAAAGGTCAGGACGTCGGCCTTCCCAGGTCGAGCGCTCCTGGCTTGGGCCGCTCGCTTCCAAACTCGTCACCGTTTCCCTGAAAGCCAAAGCCTCAAAGAAGGGACTCAGAGAGAGGCTTTTCGGAAGCTGAGGCCTAGGCCCTCTGATGCCTCTGCCAGCTGGGGTGCCGCTTCTTCTCCCGCTTCAGTACCTCGAGGTCAGGGCATCCTCGTGGCAAGCTGCAGTGGAAGATACAACAGAGACCTCTCCAACCTGCCTTCTTCGCACCTGAATTTAAGCCTCTCTGTAAGCTAGCTCCGTTCTCGTCTCATGCAGAAACGTCTTTTGGGACTTCAAGTCAACATTGCTCCGCCATGCCTCTCGGCTTCGGCAAGGGGCCCGCCCCGTGACGGCCTGGACGCAGAAACCGCGAATTTTGCTTCAAGACCTTCGTAATCCTTCGTGCAGAAGCACTGGCTTGGGTACTTAAGAGGTGCCTGTACTGCAGCTGCCAGCTGAGCTCCCACGAAGTGGCCGCCCCTGTGGAGACACAGCTGGTCTACAGCGTCGAAGCCCTGACACTGCAAGACCCTGTGGCCTTGTCTGATCTCACACTCACCTCTTGACTTGCATGTCCGCCTTAGTTGCGAAAGAACTTAGCACAAAATGTCGGTATTTTGTTAGACGAAGCCGGCATAGAGAACGTGTGCGGAAAGCTTACAGGTGAACCGGAGTAGCTGTCCTCTGCTGAGAGAACCACCGAGGCCGCCATCTTGTCGCATGGTGGCCTTCACTTTGCAAGTAAGAACTGTCCCAGGTACAAGGCGCAAGCAGGGGACGGACGGGATCATACACTGCCACTTCCGAGGCAAACAACCGAAGCAGCGGGCTTATGACACCCAGCCTTCACTGCGTCACAGTCCTTGATACCACAGTCAGCCAGGCGCCAATGGTCCTGCGACGGGAATTTACGGATGCCGCGTTCAGCCATGTGTCCGTCGTGTTTTCAGATGCTTCTGGTCCTTGAGCGACAGGCCGAGAAAGGTCAGCGTCAAGCCCTGCACCGGCACTCCAGACCTGGTCTAGCTCTGCTCTCGGAGTCTGAAGCTTTGGCGGCTTAAGGGGTTGTGGCAAAGGGTGCTGTTTAGAATGATTCGATTCTTGATGACAACACATGATCACTCGACGATTGTCCTTGTTGCGTAGGATGTGGTGGGAGTCTCGGAATGCACAAGGGATGCAAAAAAAGAAACAAAGTGCCCATGGGATGCCTCTGCAAGACCATATCAAAGCAACAATGTCTAGAATCTAGACTCTAGACGAATGTCACTGCGCAGTACCTGGACTGCCCAAGACCCTGCATCAACTGCTGGGAAGGTTACTCCAGATGTTTCCTCCAGACTGGCCGGCAAACCTGGCTGCGCTCTGACACCCCTTTTCTGAGCTTGGGTCTGCTGAAGCCGCTGCTTCAACCTCTCGGCCGTGGCCTGTGAGGATTCGAGGAAGCCGCGCCCCTCGCGACCCAGAACACCAGAGGCCTCACGCGAGATGTCGCGAATCCAAACGGTCTCGCCATCATCGAAGTCCACCTGAGATCCAAAGGCTTCGCAGATGTTCGCTCGCAGTCTGCTTTAGGCCCTGCCCGGTCTCAGCTCGCTCGGCTCCAGGGTTTCTCTGCCGACGCGGGGCGCGGAGGTCCACGCGGCGGCGCGAAGACCGGTGGCTTCGACCTCTGAAGCAGAGCTTCGACGACTTGAAAGGTGAAAGACGTGTTGGCAGCCAGCACCGGCCCTTTTGAATTGAAACATATCCAAGCATGTTGCATGCAGCTAGAGCCCCAACTCGTCTATGCCGACACGTTCCAGCGGTTCAATGTCAACTCTGTCTATCCCTTGCATTCGCTTCTTCCGTGAGACGCCGGCTCGACTCCGAGGATTGGCGCACAGGACTCCTCGGCCTCAGCACGGAAGCATCTATATACGAACGCAGATGCACGCAAAGTAGGGCTTTGTATCGCTGGTCTTCCCAGAGCAATGTCCACCGACCAAGCCCTATACACGCTCACGAAATACTTCGCTGGGGTCAAGTTCGTGAGTTGTATTGTCATCTGTTTGCAGGGGTGCATCACACAATATGTGTGAAGCTGTCTTTCTCGTACCCTTTGCGATCCCTTGGTTGAAGTTCACGAAAAGCACTGCACGTGGGAAAACTCCCTCAGGCACATTGCATCATGCTTGCACCATCTCCAAACTCCGAAAATGCAGCATATCTCGTCAGGCCAAAGCAGGGTGCTTGTCAGCATCGCTTCGATGCCACAGCCTGTCTGAAACACCGCATGTCGGTGCTCAGCTCGAGGAGGATGAGATGATGGCAGGTCTTGGAAGAAGGTCGGTCAGCTGTTTAGCGGTGTTCGACTATCTGCTCAGGATCTGGGTGACGCTTAGATAGGACTCGCGCTCTGCCTCCCCCCCGAAGTGAACATGACATTTGGGGTTGTGTTGATCATTCCTTACAAATGTTAGCCTGTGTAAACGATGCGTCCCGGTAGATGACAATCTAAAAACTTACCCTGCAATGCCGTCCTTGGTATCAGCACAGTGCCCAACGGGAAAGCAGGCCTGTCTGGCTGACTTGCTCCTGCCGGGTGGGACGAGGTCTTGAAATCCTGGATGTCCGAACAGATACCATGAACCAGCGAAACCCTTTGAGTCTGAGCTACATGCACTACATGGAGGCGCCGTCCTCGAAGTCCCCCAAAGTCGGCTTGGGCTGCACATGCACCATCCCGACCGTCGACGTGTCCTGCAAGGTTGCGAGCTGATAGCCTGCACGCATCAGTTCGTGCGGCTCGTTTTGCTGCAGACTGCCCAAGGCATATCCTAATCTGGCATGCGCCCACGAGCAAGTGGCACAGACGGCCCGCTCATCGTGCACAAAATCTTAAACTTCTGCAACTCCACCCAATCACACAAACGTCAACCGTCAACCCTACAACCCCTAAGCCCTAACCTTAACAGCCTAAACCCTGTGACCCTATAATCACCAAACCCGAAACGCTTGGCACGTGCTGATCACAACTGCCGTTTTGCGTCCGGCGCAGGCATGGGCCAAACCTGAAAGCGCTCAACCCTAACAACCTAAATCCAAAAACCCAAACCCGAAAACCCGACCTTACCCGGCCCCACCGCAGCACGCTCAAACCTAAACCTGGCCCATAGCCCGAAAACCCCCTCATAAACCTTACTCGCGCTGTTTCAAAGTCATAAGCCATTTCCGGTGAAGTAGTATTCAGCTCATGCACTCCCACCCCGGCACAACCCAATCCTGAAACCTTGAATCCGATTGGCCCCCGAACGCCAACGCTCTAAATATCAAAACCCAACACACGTTTTTGATCACAGCTGGCACGACAGACAAACCCTGAACCCAGCACCACCGGGATGCATGTTTTTATCAAAGTTGGCACTGTAAACAAAGGTAATGAGCATTTTGCACACCCTTAGGTTTTCAGTGCGTGCACTGACTGCACCCCAGCCCACCCCAGCTCAATCAGACTTGCACACTAAGCCCTGAAATTAAGCCCAACAACCTGCACCCGGTGCTTTCTACCCGAAAACCTCAAACCTAAAAAAACCTAAGCCCTAAAATCCACGCTACTAGGACACAAACACGCCGAGAATTCAGAAGGCAAAGTCACGCAAATGTTGCATTCAGGTAATGTTCGAGAAGCCTCAACCTGAACAACCTGCAACACGCAAGCTCGAACCTTAAAACTCCCAAACCTTGAAAGCCGAAGCCCTAGCAAAACAACAAGCGTGCCTGCATGTTCTGACCACAAGTGACTTGATGGACAAGACTCTTTCACCTAAACCTTGCAAAACATCAGAACTGCCAAGGAGAAGAAGATGGGCACCTGTGCTGTTTCCAACCCACAGGTGCTGAGGCACAAAACGGGGCAAGCAAGGCAGCAGCAAGAGTAGGGAGGCGGGAAACAACAGCCGACCGAAAGTCCTCGCAAGCTCCATAAAAAGTTATTGTTCATAAAGCAAAATGAAGCAAACAAGGCATTTGAAGAAGAGAAGCACGCAAATACATAAGAACAGTTTGCATCCTGAGCGATCAGCAACAACTCTACAGCGAAGATCTTCTGCAGCCAAGTGGTGCATCCCAACACGCCCCAGCGTGCAGGAGCCCGTAGCTGCCAGAGCGGCAGCTGCCACAGCTGCGCCCAGGGGATACGCGGGGTGCCAAGCCCAAATTTGGAACAGGAGCTGTTGCATACAGGACAACCGACAACTGGGACCCAGGGTACGAGATGTATTCCACAGCGCTACTCAGGATGCAACACGAGTACGAATAGGCGAAGCTGTTGTGTACCGGGCAAGCCGACAACGAGACCAAGGATATGGCAAGCACTGTCGCTGCAACCCGCAGGGGTCGACGGCTGCGACCCCTGACGCGGGGAGCACCATCGATGCTGCGAATCATCGAGCTTTCCCAGACTCGTAGCGCCGCGCTGGGAGCGGTCATTTGCCAGCACGCATGCCCCAGGAAACAACTTCAACCTCATGATTTAAAGTCCAAACCTCTCAAAGCATAATGGCCCTGTATAACGTCAAACCCATAGCCTTAAACTAAACCCGAAAACTGCCAAACCCTGAAACCCTAAACATTAAAACCCTAATCTACCCAAAAGCACGCCCACAAAAAAAAAAAACTATCACGAATACGCTGCAGCCAGTCCATCCCAGCCCACCCCAGCACCATAAAGTCTGAGCGCCAAACCTTTGACCTATCTCACATTACCTGAACCCAGATGCGACAGTCCCAAACCCGAAAAATACCGAAGCACCCTAACCCCAAAAACTATCCGGAACTAAGCAAGGGGCAATGCTTTGTTCGCCACTAGTCATGGTGAACAAAGTCAGTGGGTAGTTGCATTCAAGTAACATTTGCTGCACCTCAAACCGCAAAGCTTCCAAATCCTAACACCCCAAGTTACCCGGAAACAAGCGTGCGAACACGGCTTGATCATAAATTGCGCAGCAAACCAAGCTCAATGTGTGGGTTGCATTCGGCTAGTGTTCGGTATTTGCAGATTTAGGGTAAAGCTCTGTAATTGCCCTGGCCATATCCAAACTCAGCGCAACTCAATTAAACCTAAACCCCAAACTATCAAAGCCGTCCATAATCCCATCTAAACATCTAACACCCAAAACCACCCCACTCCTGAAACGCGAAACCCCAAAATCCCAACCTCCGACCCACCCGAACCCAATCAAACCTAAACCCCAAAACCTATACTGCCCAAGAGCTGCAAGGGCACTTATTTGATGACAACTCGCACGGTAGACAGCCATGCTGAGACTGTCGAACACCCTATGCTTGTTCCTCCCCACACACACACACACCCTTACCTAGAAATCCTTGCACCCGAGTAACCTAAACCCCAAGCTCTGACACCCGAAATCTCCCAAGCAGGGAAGCTCACATACAAACAAACGTGTTGGTCAAATGACTTCACGACCTAGGCCCTCCTTTGCCAGAACCCTTTCGAAAGGTGTATATAATACGTACATATATATATATATATACATATATATTTATTTATTTGTTTATTTATTTGTTTATTTATTTATTTATTTATATTTA